AAACCTGACGGTTGCAAATGCATGGCAAGCTCTAAGTCCGAGCTTTAACCCCGACCCCACTCCGGAAGAGCAAGTGGATATTGATCGACGTGCGGAGCAGCACACTTCCGAGTTCTTCCAAGACATGAACCTCAACAAAACACCTTAGTTTTTTCGGTTTTTTGAATGAATACTTTATATATTATTTTAATCAAATACAATTGTATATATTTTTTAAAAAAAAAATCAAATAAAAAAATCAAATCAAAGATTTTATTTAAAAATAAAATCAACATTAGTCGTAAATTAGTCTTTAATTTACAACTAATGGACAACAACAGTCGAAGTTACTTAGTTGTAATATTACGACTAAGTAACTACCAATATTTACGTTTGCTTTACAACTACTATTATTATGACTCATTGACTACTAATTATATTACGTCGAATTAACTACGAAACGTTTTACGACTACGTTACGACTGCATATGTCACCTCAATATTACGACTAATGCCTTAGTCGTAATATTACGACTAGGTTACGACTACGGCCTGTGGACGTAATATTACGACTACTTTACGACTAATTGTGCATTACGACTAGCGAATAATGATCAATGGGTTTTCTATGTTAATTGGTCGTAAAAAGCATATTACGACCAATTAACAACCAATATTGTAGTCGTTAGACACATGTTTTCTTGTAGTGCTACCATTAATGAGGAATGAGTAAGAAACTGAACTAACACATTCTATGATCCATTTCATCCACTAGGGTGAAAACCCATTTGAGACATAGTATTTCTCAAGAAATTTCACTCTAGACGATTATAGGCTTTATTCATATTTATTTTCACAGACATCGAGTCTTGTTTTCTTACCGTTGAGGTGTGCAAGTAATGGAATATTTTATGCGTGATCAAAACGTCATCAGAGATAAATCTTTCCGTCACAAAAACTGACTGGTAAAGTGAAATGATGTCGGATATGAAGTTTTAATTACCTACACATGATTTTTGCTGTGATTTTGTAATGTGTAAAGCACAAGGCTATGAAGCTGTAATCCATGATTGTCTTAGGAAACTTGATCTTCGGTATTAGGTGGAAGTAGGTTTCATTATATCTCCTACGTAACCCGTGTTCCTCAAAGAACCGTCTAATATTTCGACATATTTTCTCCCCTAAAATTTTCTCAAAAACTTTCGTAGAATTTGCCGAGAACAGTTTTGGTCCCAGTGCTTTGTCTTCATGAATAGCAAACACCATATCCTTTATCTCTATAATTCTAATAAGATATTCATTTATGGTGTCAGAGATATAGGGTCTAATGACCTCTACAACAATTTATGAATTTAATCGACAGATTTATATTTATAACAAATATTTAATCGAAGAAACGCCAGTTCTGTCTGAGAATTAATTCTCAAGAAAAAGATCCCGAAACAAAGTTAATGATATTTGCTAATAAGTTCACATGAAACAAACTATTCTCAAGATATTTGAACTTGAAAGAAAAAGAGGAAGCAAATCCTGATGTAAATGTCAATTCCTTTATAGCTATTAATACTTGAGACACAACCAATCCACCGTTCAGCGCAAGGCTTCCAAAAAATTGTTGCAGACAAAAGATTTTTTCTAGGGAGAGGTGACTCATTTACCTAGAAATACAAATAAAATACACAATTTGAGTTGGGAGATTCAAAGCTTGTGCATCTAGCAAACAAAGAATTCTCATCTCCGCCGCAAGAGCATATGCACTGACTTTTCTGAAGTTGAAAATGTGAATTTAAATCATGAAAGTTCGTCATCAAATCAAAACAGGGACACCACAGCAATTTAGTACTTTGGCTAAGATAAATCTTAACCTGATTTATGTGCCACCCTGAAAGCGAGGCTGATTTGCTCTCTCCGAAAACAACTCAAAGGGCTTGGCCATACAGAATTAAAGAAAAGTTCACATGTACACAAGTGATAAGTATGTTCTTTATCATGTCTGATTTATTAATTTCACTTTTAACATATTCGATTGTGTTAAATAAAACATTTATATCTAAAGAAAATCAGATTGCATTCAATTCACGATCCATTTTTTGAAATTTGCATTACTTTTTTCAACACTAAAGAGAGTTCGGTTAAACCAAAGCCATACTGTACTGTAATCTAGCATTTCAAAACAGAACCAGAGCTCATCTGTTGTCTTAACATATAAAGCCAGTACAAACTCATAACTCCTCGGTTTAGAATGGTCATCTCCTGAACCAGACCACATTTAACCCAACAACAACTTCTGATTTAGTTTTGGAGAATCACATATCAGAAACAGACCAAAGGTAAGCTTCTCTTTCCGTTGCTTTTTTCTCACTTGTCTTCTTAAACCTATCCTTCTCATGTCCTACAAACCACAAAAAAAAAAAAAAAAACAGATTACATAAAAATAAGCTTCCGATGGATTTTTTTTCATTTTATATGTACAAAGGCAAAACACACATTCAGAAGACAAAACTTACCGGTACTGCGGTCAACTCCATCCCAATGTCTACCGGGCTTTATTCCATACCGATTAGGTGCAGCTTCTAATCCTCTTGTTATCCAGCTATGCTTTGGGATACTTTGTGGTATGACAAACCCAGATTTTTTCATATCCTCATTGTCCCCTAGATCCATAAGAGGTGTCTCGTGCTGTTTTTTCTGCGATATAGAGATACGGTGATATGTTACGATATTGTTTTAATTCAAAGGCAGTCTTTGGTTAGTGATTGTTTTGTAGAGAGTAGTACCTTGACCAAATGAGCCATTGGATCTCCCCATCTAACTCTTTCTTTCATCATTTGATCAAGCTCGGGATCATCCCTGAAACGACATGGATATAACCTTTTAAATAACAGCCAAGTAGAAAATAGCTCAACCTCTAGCTCATGAGTAAGACCCGACATAATACCTGGTCCGAGCAAATGGCTTATCCTTCTCAAGCTCAAGTTCCTGTAGTCTAGCTTCAGCATCACGCTTCTGAGCTAAACCTTGGCCCCATTCCAATTTGATCTCCTACAAAGAGTTAGTCACTTATGTTGGTAACTGTTTTTTTCTCAGTTACTCAGATTCACAATTCATATTCTGTGAGCATAAAGTTAACCAGCAAACAGTACCTTTGGCTTCTCTATCACTTTCTTTTGCTTTGATTGAAGATATTCCTCTTTTGATATTCGCTTCCCTGAAATACCAATAAGCAACCATATGGGAGTGAGTCATGTAATTATGCATTCTCACAGAAAATTATAGGGAGCTAAAACCTATACTCGGTCCTTGCCTGTAATCTTGTCACGGAACACTGCTTCTGCATTCTGGCCAGTCAGCTCGGAATCCATATTTTTAAACCTGCAAAATAGTTTAACTTGTCAAAACGGTATCTTATGAAGTCCCGAAGACATAAAAAGACAATCTTAATAAAAAAAGGAATGATACACCCGAAAGAAGAGTCTGCTTTTGAATTATTACCTCAACTGTTCATCCTGCTTCTTTTTTCGATATTCACTTCCAATGTCTTTGCCACTAATTAATCCAGTCTTCCGTTGCTCCTTGCTTGTTTGAGGAGGTGATGATTCTCTGTGCGGTCTACTTGGAGGAGAGTTATCAAAATTGGAACTCCTGGACACAGTTTTTCTTTGAGGGGAAAGATCCGAGTCTCGAGAACCCTTCACACTCACACTCCTGCGTGGTGGAGATATATCAGAGTTTAAACCAAGAGATTTTGAAGGCTTTCTACCCGGTTCAGGTGATGGAGAATGATATCGTCTTCTTCGTGGAGGAGAAAGATCATTGCTCGTCTTGTTAACATCTGAGACAGGTGAATCCTTCTTCCTGCGAGGCGGTGATAAATCACCATCCAACTCAGCTGAATCTGAACGCTTCCTGCTTCTTTCAGGCGATGGAGAATGAACATGTCTCTTCCGAGGAGGAGACAGATCTTCACTCATACTTTTGGGGGGTTTATCTTCAGGTTCTGGTGAGGGTGAATCATTCCTGGCCCGCCTTTTGCGAGGTGGTGTCAAATCAGAATCCAAACTAACAGGCTTTGCATGTCTTCTGTTAGGTTCAGGTGAAGGTGTATAGTGACGTTTTCTCCGACGTGGTGGTGACATGTCTGTTTTAACAAGTGAAGCTCTAGGGCCAGGCTCAGGAGATGGAGAGTCGTTACGAGTCCTTTGTCTCCTTGGAGGAGAAATATCATCAGATCTGTCGTCGCCACCTCGGTCAGAAGATAAACTCACCCACCCACTCCCATCCTCAGCAATGGCATTCTGAGCACGCCTTGCCTTGATTTCCTCCAACCTCCTCATTCTCTTAACTTCAATGTCCTCATCAACCACAGGCCTTTCGTCTGTGACAAAACAGAAAAAAAAAAAAAAAAAAAAAAGAAAAGAAAGAATCATATCAGTGTCAAAAGCTACTCTTT